TTTACATTCTTATGATCATTTACTGTTTTAAATTGATTTTACTGTAACCTGCCTGAGATCCTCAAATATAGGCAGAACATAAGTGTTTCACTAAAAAAAAATCCAAGTTAACCATTAAGAACTAAAATGGCAAAATATATTAATATGCATTAAGGCAGAAAACTCAAAATGAGTGAAAAAGGGAGCATTATTTGCTTGGACAAGAAAATATGTGGTCAAATATGGCCACAATTATATTTGACAGATATCCAAGTTATGAAGCTCTGCATGATTAGTCAAGCAGGTCCATATCCAGGAGATTAGATTGCAGCAATGGATGTTCAAACATCATGATATTTACTCTGAATTAGTTAAGTTTGTTAACAAGAGTCTGCTCAATCATTTGTTTAGCTGCTCCTGTCAAAGGGAGGAGCTAAACAAATCAGAGGCTTTCTATCCACTGTTTGTTTAGCAAGATAGTTGAATAAAGATCTCATGTAGCTCCTCTCCTAATAAGCCTGAATCACACTCTGAGATTATGCAGGGCATAATCTGAATAAATCATTACCCGGTTACTGTGATCGCTGACTTTGATGATAGGTTCATTCTTCCTGAGATCCCAGACTGTAGCACGGCCGCTAGGGCTTGCAGAAGCCAAGATATGCTGGACTTGCCTGTTCCATGCAATGCAGCTGATATCTTCAGGAGGCTGTTGAAAGCAGAACAGAGATCAGTTTCAATCTCCATAGGCCAAAATCTCAACATGTCTCACTGAAGAATGTAACACAACATGGACACATTCTATCAAGTTGTAGTCACAGTGCAAACCCTATATTCCTCTTTCTAACAAACATAACATGGGGAAACATCACATTTGAAGGCATGTGGGATGCCATGGTAGAAGTGCTAACAAGAAAGGAGATCATTCTCCTTCTTTTATGAATTAATTCCACCCCCTTTCTAGAAATTTGACTTCAAAACAGTGGTTCTCAACTTGACCAGGGACCACTCTCCAACATTTGTTGTTGTTCATTCGTTCAGTCGTCTCCGACTCTTCGTGACCTCATGGACCAGCCCACGCCAGAGCTCCCTGTCGGCCGTCACCACCCCCAGCTCCTTCAAGGTCAGTCCAGTCACTTCAAGGATGCCATCCATCCATCTTGCCCTTGGTCGGCCCCTCTTCCTTTTGCCTTCCACTTTCCCCAGCATAATTGTCTTCTCTAGGCTTTCCTGTCTCCTCATGATGTGGCCAAAGTACTTCAACTTTGTCTCTAGTATCTTTCCCTCCAGTGCGCAGTCGGGCTTTATTTCCTGGAGGATGGACTGGTTGGATCTTCTCGCAGTCCAAGGCACTCTCAGCACTTTCCTCCAACACCACAGCTCAAAAGCATCGATCTTCCTTCGCTCAGCCTTCCCTAAGGTCCAGCTCTCACATCCGTAGTTGACTACAGGGAATACCATGGCTTTGACTAGGCGGATCTTTGTTGTCAGTCTGATGTCTCTACTCTTCACTATTTTATCGAGACTGGACATTGCTCTCCTCCCAAGAAGTAAGCGTCTTCTGATTTCCTGGCTACAGTCTGCATCTGCAGTAATCTTTGCACCTAGAAATACAAAGTCTGTCACGGCCTCCACGGTTTCTCCCTCTATTTTCCAGTTGTCAATCATTCTTGTTGCTATAATCTTGGTTTTTTTGACGTTTAGCTGCAACCCGGCTTTTGCGCTTTCTTCTTTCACCTTGATTAGAAGGCTCCTCAGCTCCTCCTCGCTTTCGGCCATCAGAGTGGTGTCATCTGCATATCTGAGGTTGTTAATGTTTCTTCCAGCAATTTTCACCCCAGCCTTGCATTCATCAAGACCCGCACATCGCATGATGTGTTCTGCATACAAGTTAAAAAGGTTGGGTGAGAGGATGCAGCCTTGCCGTACGCCTTTCCCAATCTTGAACCAGTCTGTTGTTCCGTGGTCAGTTCTGACAGTTGCTACTTGGTCCTTGTACAGATTCCTCAGGAGAGAGACAAGGTGGCTTGGGATGCCCATCCCACTAAGAACTTGCCACAATTTATTATGATCCACACAGTCAAAGGCTTTAGAATAGTCAATGAAGCAGAAGTAGATGTTTTTCTGAAACTCCCTGCCTTTTTCTCCATTATCCAGCGGATATTGGCAATCTGGTCTCTCGTTCCTCTGCCTTTTCTGAACCCAGCTTGAACATCTGGCAACTCTCGCTCCATGTATTGCTGGATTCTTCCTTGAAGGATCTTGAGCATTACCTTACTGGCATGAGAAATAAGGGCCACTGTACGGAAGTTTGAGCAGTCTTTCGCATTTCCCTTTTTTGGTATGGGGATGTAAGTTGATTTTCTCCAACATTAGTACCAACAATTTTTGGTCAACTTTAGATTAGTTTTGGTTATTTGGGGTGCCGATTCAGAAAATTGAATTGGAAATACCACATCAGCTCCAATGCTTGAACGATTCCATCAGCGCTGCCTCCAGAAAATCCTGCAAATCTCTTGGGAACACAAGCGGACAAATGTCAGCGTGCTGGAAGAAGCAAAGACCACCAGCATTGAAGCAATGGTCCGCCATCAATTCCGCTGAACTGGCCACATTATCCGAATGCCTGACCACCGTCTCCCAAAGCAGTTGCTCTACTCCGAACTCAAGAACGGAAAACAGAAAGTTGGTGGACAGGAAAAGAGATTTAAAGATGGGCTCAAAGCCAACCTTGAAAACTCTGGCATAGACACTAAGAACTGGGAAGCCCTGGCCCTTGAGTGCTCCAGCTGGAGGTCAGCTGTAACCAGCAGTGCTGCAGAATTTGAAGAGGCACGAATGGAGGGTGAAAGAGAGAAACGTGCCAAGAGGAAGGTGCATCAAGCTAGCCCCGACCGAGACCGCTTTCCACCTGGAAACCAATGCCCTCAATGTGGGAGAAGATGCAGGTTAAAAATAGGGTTCCACAGTCACCTACGGATCCACAAGAATACTGATCCTGGAAGACTATCCTACTCGGCCAACGAGGGATCGCCTTAGTAAGTTTCTGATACAGAACATATGCCACCCAATAGCTGCCATCTTCTTGCCCACAGAAAAACATATTTAATAATCCAGAGCTGGTGTGGTAGCAGTAATTTTTCGTGGGTAATAAGCCTCTCCCCTCCCAACATTCCCATTGCCTCGGACCTATAAGAGGGTTTCGCGAGACCAGTTGCTTTCATTGCCACGTGGTTTCCAGGCAACGGTGTAGTAATGGTGAGGCCACAGACCATATGTTTGTTCTTGGAGACCACTAGTCGTCCACGGACCACAGGTTGGGAACCACTGCTTCAAAAAGATGGCCATCATTCAGCTGTTTTCTTAAACATCTCTACACAACAAGCTTCAGAAAACAACCCAAGATGACTACAATTATACAAAATTTTATACCTCTTAATTCTTTCAGCAACCATCCAATGTAAAAAAAGTAGACTTCTACCACCCTTCAAATTAACAGATCTATTTTTTATTTCAAACAGACCATAAATCTTATGTCAAAATATTTCTTTAAAGAAGCCTATTTCCATTTTATGCTGTAACCGAGTAATATGTCTATCTCACAGGGTAGCACTATCTGCTGGCTGTCTAAACATTGCTAAATAATATATATATCCTGTACCTGAGTCTTGGCTCCTGGTGTCATTGGTGTTGCAAAGTTGTTTAAATCCCAGATGTAGATCTCAGATTCATTAGCCCCCGAGGCTACTAGATTTGTCTGTAACCAAGAGGATAGAGATTCGTGTAATAAAAATCAATCTAAACAGCTCTTATTTGAACACTGTAAGTGATACTGGAAGGGAGTAGGGGTCTCTAACCTGGAATAAGTTGACATCCAGAGCTCTTACAGGTCCCGTGTGCTTGTCTTTCTGTGCAATTACAACTTCACTTTCGCCGGCTAATATTTTAGCAGGGTCATACAAAATGATATTTCCATTTTCACCACCCGCAATAAGTACACCTGAGAGATTCCCGTCAGATGCCACTTGAGGAGGCCCCCATATCAGCTTGTGATACCTGCAAATCAATTTCAAGAGAATGGGTTGCTTAGAAAAGTGCATCCTTCTCTCAGCCAGTGTACCATAGTTCTGTGCAGAGTTGTCCAAAGTTTGTTCCAAATTTCTGCTTAAGCCCAACCCAGGTGTTCTCTAACTGTGTCCAGGGAAGGCAAAGAGGGGGAATTCTAGTCTGCTCCTAACCCTAGTCCCATCTCTACTAGACAGAAGAGGGAGAAGGCTTCTTTGATTATTATATCCAATTAAATAAGACTTTAGAGACAATGAGGTGGGTGATCTTATCTACCCCACAGGTTTTCTACAAAAACAACTGAGCATAAGTTCGGAAATTTCTTGCATTTTAAACACTAAACCAGTAAGGCCTTACAATTTAAAACCTTTAAATCAGGATGGGCATCTTCTGAGTCTAAAGCCATCTTTTCTCTCCATCTGAGAGGGCCTAAAGCAACTTCTCATAAATGAAAAACAGTACTGCTGGAGATGGAAGTGGCAAGGGAAGCTGCATGCAATCCATAAGCTGCACTTCACTCATCCTACTTTAGAGTTTCTCAAGACTGTTTGATCTGCTTATGCTACAAAATAATGCTATCCAGTAGTCTAAGTAAGCCATGTACTTCTAATGGCAAACAGAAACACATAGTTTCCTATTGACATTACATCTGCTATGAAAGATTTATGGACTTATTCCAATGTCAACGGAAAGTTTTCAACTCCTTCACCACTTTAAAGAGTATCTGCACTTGCTCTTATTGACACTGTCAAAGCCTCTTTACTATAAAACAACAGCAACTATTAATAATAATTTTATTTCTTACCCACCTCTCCACATGGCTCGAGGTGGGTTACAAAATAATCAAAACACATAAACATTGTAAAAACACTACAAATACACACATTTAAAAAGTATGTCTATAAAAGATACATATTAAAACATATTTCTATAAAATTCATATTAAAATACACAAAATAGAGATTAAACAAAGGACACGAGCACCACAAATTATGCAGTCAAGTTTCCCATATTTGGGGAAATCGCAAGGGTCAGACTACCCAGAGTGCAATGGATGAGCCTCACCCTGGGAAAGTCACCTTCGTGATCATGGTGCCTCCCCTGCTAAGTAACTATTAGTGTACTCTGCATGCTACTAAAGAAGTCTATTAGCAAAATTCTTCGTTAAGAGAATGTATATTCAGTTTGATTCACAGCAACAAAACAAGCAAGGAATTCCAAGTTCATCTGTGCAAAACAAGGACACAGTCTGCCAAGACTAGGGTGGTTAGTAGTGAGGACTGAAGCTTAGGCAAATCCCGAACCTGTGCATTGGACTGTTAGCGTGGTAAAGGAAATATTCGAATGAGGGGGCTTCTTATAGTCATTTTTATGGCTCTGTTTAGAGGTCATATAGCAGGTATGAGCAAACTCTGCCCCGCTAGGTATTTTGGACTCCAACTCCCACAGTGCTTAACAGCCTACCGGCCAAAGTTTGCCCATACCTGTCATATAAGAAAGAATCAAACAGAACCACAGAGTCTAGTGATACCCGAATTAACCACTGCAACCTCCAGCATGCTGCCCTCCCTCCCACCTTTGTGGCTCCTCAAGTAGGGACTGTTAAAACCCTGTTCTGTGTATGGTTCAAAGCAGTGATCCCTCTCTGTTGCCATATCTTGTTTTGGCGTGCTTTCTATGGCTTGGGCAAGGGGACCTGTACATCTGGGTTGGCATGGCAGATCCGCCACTGCCAAGCTATAGCCAAATACATACTTACATCTTTGGTTTACTGTGGCGATGAAGCTGTGTGCTCTCTCATGTGTGCAAGTGACCAGATACAGGCAACATAAGCATATGGCCACTCATATGGGGGCTTTAGAGAACCAGTGTAGAATAATTATTTTACTGCAGGACTAGGACTCTGGAGAACAAGGTTCAATTCCCTGTTCAGCTATGAAAACCCTCTGGGTGACAAGACATACACTCTTGGTCCCAGAAACCCCTTTGATACATTCACCTTAGTATTGCTGTAAGTCAGAAATCACATAAAAGCACACAACAACAAATGGAAATGCTGGCATGGGTTGATTTGTATCGAAGTTTTATAATTTTTTGTCAAGAAAATCACAAAACCCATCTGAAGGAGGAAAAAAAACCTCGAGATTAGGAATGTTCTAAACCAGGAATAGATAGGTTTTTTTAGAACTCTTCTCAATATTGGCCATGCTACTAAAACCTTTTCAGAGCTTAAAGCGATAAAGACAGACTTTTCTACTTAAAACAGTGTTGTGTGGATTTCATAATTAGATAAATAGTTTTAAAAATTGCACATACCTATGAGTGGAGGAGAAGGTGGCACAGGACTTCATATCCAGTGAAGGATCTGTCAAGTCAAGTTCAAATATTTCCAGGGAGGCATTTGTACTGAAGGTAGCATCCAGCTGCTGAGCAGAGGTGCCTGTATAGAAACAAGCAATTTACTATAAACTATTATTGAAGGGAAACCTGGTCTTATCCAGTAATGCAGGTCTTGTGTTTTTATTTAGGACAAATCTAAATTAAACTGAATCAACCCAGAATGCCATCCAAAAAGTACCATTTTTATTTGCTATAAAAGTGGTTTCAAGTTGCTAAAAAATTAATTTTCTTGAGTTATGACATAAAATTGCAACTGTAAGAAATGCATTTTTTAAAACGTACCAGTAGCCAAGTAAATGGGGTGGTGGTGAGAGGGGCTCCATGCCTGCATGGCAGTACGGTCTATCTCTTTCAGCTTCATCCTGTTGAGAAGAGTATAACAGGCAGCATCAATAAATGAAAGGTGTAGGGCTAAACAGGAATAAAAGATAGATTGTGAAATCAGCTTATAGATCAAAACTTTACAAGGTAAAGGTATCCATTGTTTTACTTGAGCATACATTGAAATACTAAATATAATGCTTGTGTCAAAACAGCTTTCAGAACATCCAACAATATTACAAATGCCAAAAGAGAGATTTTTTATATTCATTCTGAAGTAAGGCCTATAGTATTTAATGGAGCTTACTCCATGGTAAATGGGAACAGGATGCTAGCACAGGAAGATAATGTTTCTCCCAATAAGAATGTACTCAAACATGAAGCTATTTTTGTATTCAATCCAGATCTTAACTCCAGTTACTGCTATTAGTAAGAGAGAGGTCAAGAAATACTCATTGTTCACATGGGAGGACATCAATTAAAAATGTATTTGCTCTGTTTTAACTCTTTGACCTGTTTGCACACCTGAGTCAAACTGTAAGAGATTGATCAGTGTAGGGCATGTCCCTACTAGATTTTAGCCTTATGGCAACCCCATGAACTTCACAGGGCTTTCCTAGGCAGGGAAGTGGTTTGGTAAATTACTTTCTCTGAAATATGCACTACAGCATATGATAATCCTTAGATGTCTTCCATCCAAGTACTACCCAGGGCTGACCCTGCTGTTTCCAAGATCACATCTGATGTCTTTAGGGTACTTAGACAGAGTGATTCACTTATAGGCTTCTAAAGTATACTGTTAATTATTTCCCCACATTTGCAGAAAAGTTACCACTCAAAGCCCCACATTATCCAAGTAAATTACCTACACTGCTCCATACATTTGCTTTCCACCTCCTTCAACTGCAAAAATGGAACAAACACATGGAACCTCATTACCTTGCTATCATAGGGTGCATCTGTTGTCAGAGGCACTCCAAGTGGCCAGCTTCTGGTCAAAGAACATTTAGCATAATGCCACGTTTTTAACTTTGTTTACGTTTTAAATACATTATAACTGTTCCCTCAATTCACTTCTGGCACGATATATAAATAGAGTGCATCTAGATCAGTGGTTCCCAAACTTTTTTTTTTTTAATCAGGGACCACTTTCCAACATTAGTACCTAAAGGGTTATGAATCAGTTTTTGGTCACCTTAGATTTTGTTTGGTTATTTGGGGTGCTGAGTCAGAAAACTGCATTGGTTAGACCACATCAACTCTAGTTTTTGATACAGAACTTATGCCATCCAGTAGTTGTCATTTGCTCGCCACTGAAAACCATTTTTCATCATCTAGAACTGATGTGGTCCATCCAAGGGGTTGGGGCTGGTCAGCAACAGGGAAGGAGTGGCAGGTGGTGCAAAAGGAGCAGAAATAAAATACATAAATTAAAATAAATAAATAAAGAGGAAGGAGACTCACGGACCAGATTTTCGTCTTCGCGAACCACATTAAGGACCACTGATCTACATTGTAGAATGTCATGCAGTTTGATACCATTTTGACTGCCCTGGCTCAATGCTAAGGAACCCCAGGAGTTGTAGTTTGGTGAGACACCAACACACTTGGGCAGAAAAGCCAAAATATCTTGTAGAACTACAACTCCCATGATTCCATGGCACTGAGCCATGGCAGTTAAAACTGGTGCCAAGTTGCATTAATTCAACAGAAAAGAAGTAGCCAACACGCTCTTCCTCAAAAAGTTCTGATAGTACGCTGCTTTTGCTCCAAGCCATGTCTAAAGATAGGTGATTTGTGAAGCATATAAAGAACTAAGAAATTATGAATTAAGAGCTGTGACACATTTTTTTATTACACTGTGCATTTCACCCACATATAGGAATGTAATTTGATCCATCATTCTTTGTTTTTCACCTTCTTTCTCGTTTGCTGGAAACCAGAAGCTACATGACTCATTATGAAATACACACATAAAACCACAGACCAAACTTTTGAGGAAACTCAAGTAAGAGCCCATGATCTCTCTGGTAAAGTTTTCATGGCACAGTATCAACCTAGAGCCTGCTTCTGATATTCTGTATAATTATTTTGGCCTTTTAAAGGCTATATAAAACTCAGAACTGGGTTTCTAAAATGGCTATATACCACGTTGCTCCTCATAGCTAAAAATAAAGGTTGGTGAATTTATTTATTTTTCATGCTGGCTTTCTGTCTGTGTGGTACCCAAGGTGGCTTACAATTGCTAAAACTCCAATAAGGGAAAATAAGTAAGTTAAAGTAAATGCTATTATTTTCTTAAAGTGTAAGCCTGCCTCAAAGATCTGAATACTGCAGCAGGTTCATACAATCTTTCAAATACTCCATACAGGGATAGACGTATAAGTCATAATCAGCACTTTCCATTATGCTGTGATGTGATGCAAATGTTGATACTGCTCTATAAAATTAATAAACTGGTGTTATTTAACCCAAATGAAACACAAAGTAATTTTCAATGGCTCAAATAGACATTGCTGGTGGCAATGTGGTAAGTTGTGATTTTACCACCATATAGAGTGGTTAAGTCGGAGAGTACAGCTTGTATCTGAAATCCAAAATTGTTCCCAAGAGTAGCTGAGATAATGACACGTTTGCTTTCTGATGCTTCAATGTAGGCAAAAAATGTATTGTCGAAGGCTTTCATGGCCGGAATCACTGGGTTGTTGTAGGTTTTTTCGGACTATATGGCCATGGTCTAGAGGCATTCTCTCCTGACGTTTCGCCTGCATCAATGGCAAGCATCCTCAGAGGTAGTGAGGTAGGCTTTTCCTCACTACCTCTGAGGATGCTTGCCATAGATGCAGGCGAAACGTCAGGAGAAAATGCCTCTAGACCATGGCCATATAGCCCGAAAAACTTACAACAACCTAGGCAAAAAATGTTTTAAGCATAATTGTTTTAAATTTTATGTGTATAAGGCATAAAATGAATGAATTTGAGTTTAGACTTCTATCTCATATCTAAAATACCTCATTTACACACAAGTATTCCAAAGGTTGTTTTTTTAAAAAAAATCTAATATCCCAAACCATTCTGGTCTCAAGCATTCCACATAAGTGACATTCATTTCTGGAATTACATCAGAAACAATTTCTTTAATCACTGCTGTTGGGATTACTACATTTTTCTCTAATGCAAATGATTCTTTTTCTCAAAAAGAATTAATTTACATACAGTTGAATATTCCTTAATACTTGGGACCAGAATAATACTTGGGACCAGAAATTTCCCATATGTTGAAGTTTTATTTATTTATTTGCAGCATTTATATTCCACACTTCTGACCCCGAAGGGGACACAGGGCAGATCACAGAACACATACACAGCAAGCATTCAACACTGTTAGACATACA